AAACGTCTGACCTCTGTGATTAACAACAAGGGTTTTGCCACCAAGTACTAATACTTATTTCCCTCATTAAAATGCAAATCAATTTATAACAATTTTGACATGCGTTTTTCTGGATTTTTTTGTTGTTATTCTGTCTCTCACTGTTCAAATAAACCTACCATTAAAATTATAGACTGATCATGCCTTTGTCAGTGGGTAAACATACAAAATCAGCAGGGGATCAAATACTTTTTTCCCTCACTGTATCTTCTGTATACCACCCCTACATTGTCACAACACAACTGATTGGCTCAAACGCATTAAGAAGGAAAGAAATTCCACAAATGTACTTTTAAAAAGGTCACCTGTTAATTGAAATGCATTCCAGGTGACTACCTCATGAAGCTGGTTGAGAGAATGCCAAGAGTGTGCAAAGCTGTCATCAAGGCAAAGTGTGGCTATTTGAATAATCTCAAATATAAAATATATTTTGATTTGTTTAACACGTTTTTGGTTACTACATGATTCCATATGTGTTATTTCATAGTTTTGATGTCTTCACTATTATTCTACAATGTAGAAAATAGTAAAAATAAAGAAAAATCCTTGGATGAGTAGGTGTTCTAAAACCTTTGACCGGTAGTGTAGTTCAAGTGTACTGTAGAGTTGTCATAAACATGCGTGACCACCTTACAACAAATGATGTACACTAATCAACTTTTGGTCATTTTATTGGTTTTGGAAATTATCAACACCAGCAAATGTAAAACCTTGTGATGGAGTCCAGTTATACCACACTGACAGGGTTACAAAGAGTCACATTCAAAGCATGAATATGTACAATGCCACACTCAAAAAGCCTTCACCCAAAGTCTGACACTGGTGTAAACTGAATTGGGATTGTAATGTCAAATCAGACATGTAATTAAGTGATAAATGGTATTTTCTCAATTCCTAGATCCCTCCCCTCTGACCTTCTCCTCCAATGTGTATTGAGGAGGCAAGGAGAGAGGACAAGATGAATCAAGGAAAGACAATTGAGAAAGAGCTGAGATGTTGACAAAGGGGAAGTTAGGGAGAAATGGCGAGACTTCATGAAATAGTAGCTAGTAGCCATTGCGTGCAGAACCCTTCTGACGAGAAACCAAACAAATAACAAACAATACCACTTCTGTAAGTTAGTTAATCACTGATAACTTATTTTTATCATGGGGGTAAACATATTATAATGGCACCATCCAGAGTACATAATATCATTTGACACAAACATTTTTTTTCAGTACTCAAACAACTTGCAACAAAAGCCACATAACAAACTTTCACAGATTCACAATGTGTTCCATGTGAAAACAGCACTCACAATTTTGTCAAATTAGTTACGTGTTGAACATGAACATTTCATGTGACGTGATACATTTGAGGACAGGACAATGGTCTTGCAGAATGCAAGCTACCCCTAATGTTCATCAAAAAGGATTCAACGGGAATAGAGGTAACAGCTAGGAATGTGTTCAGGAGAGAATAAACATTACAGAACACAACATTCAGCACAACATCAGAACCCACCTTGCCACTGGGGTTTGCTACTACTTTGTGACACTATCTACAAAAGGCATGTCCACAGACTACATAGTAAAGACAGACGAGACCTCTTCCAGCCATGTTTAAGGCAATTTAAAAGCATTTCCTACAGGTATTCATTTCATTCTCTTCAGTACCACTGGTATCCCTGTCATTCTTTTTGATCAATATACATTTTCACAGAAAGCATCATTACAATCGAACAAATAAGTTAGACACAATCAAATAAATAAATCACGTAACAAGAATACAGAAATAAAGAATGACTGAGATATTATCTTCTTTTAAGACAAAGATGAGAGTGCAACAGTTTGTGTTGGACACATTGGACCTCTGACATCAGATTTATGCTACTATACTGCCTGCATGAGCTTTACCTGGCATCAGACCTCCTGTACACATTTAAAGGCATTAATAAGCATCAGTAAGAGTGTCAAACATGGTGAACATCTTGTGTCATGCAATGCAAATGTTGAGAAGTCTTTGTGGCAGTTTCACAGACATAAGTTACGCATAGTTGGGTGACTGCACACCAGCATGGCCTGAAAATATTTGGGGCATCTCAGATTGTTCTGGCAATTCTCACATAAAAACTTAATTGGGAGGAAGGATGTTTCACATGCTTTTTTGAGAAAATCATGATGAAAGTGGCCATTTTAGGCCCTTTTTAGACCAACCTATACATGCCTCCTGACCCTATGATCCGTGAACCGCACATGGTACAGTCATCTTGGTGTCATTATACTCCTTATAGTGTGCTCTGAAATATGGAGTATGGCTATATTCTGAAATATAATTGTTCACATTAATCGATTCAACATGAACTATATTATTATTAATATCTCAAAAGTACCCTTTTCGATTTAGCTTACTCTTCAAACACATCACAATTCCAGAGTGGGCTCTCTGCTACTTTCAAAGAAATTATAAATGCTATACATCGAAATTTACATTATAGGTCATTAACCAAATTATACCTCTCCTGTAGGATTGCACATTCAGCAAATCACCAGCAGTGATTCACTGTTTTGGTGGTGCTCATAAAATGTATCATAACTTTAAAAAGTAGCAGAGAGACCACTGAAAATTGTATGTACAGTCGTGGTCAAAAGTTTTGCAATTTGCATATACTCCAGAATGTTATGAAGAGTGATCAGATGAATTGCAATTAATTGCAAAGTCCCTCTTTGCCATGAAAATGAACTTAATCCCAAAAAAACATTTCCACTGCATTTCAGCCCTGCCACAAAAGGACCAGCTGACATCATGTCAGTGATTCTCTCGTTAACACAGGTGAGAGTGTTGACGAGGACAAGGCTGGAGATCACTCTGTCATGCTGATTGAGTTAGAATAACAGACTATAAGCTTTAAAAGGAGGGTGGTGCTTGAAATCATTGTTCTTCCTCTGTTAACCATGGTTATCTGCAAGGAAACACGTGCCGCCATCATTGCTTTGCACAAAAAGGGCTTCACAGGTAAGGATATTGCTGCTAGTAAGATTGTACCTAAATCAACCATTCATCAAGAACTTCAAGGAGAGAGGTTCAATTGTTGTGAAGAAGGCTCCAGGGCGCCCAAGAAAGTCCAGCAAGCGCCAGGACCGTCTCCTAAAGTTGATTCAGCTGCGGGATCAGGGCACCACCAGCGCAGAGCTTGTTCAGGAATGGCAGCAGGTAGGTGTGAGTGCATCTGCACACACAGTGAGGCGAAGACTTTTGGAGGATGGCCTGGTGTCAAGAAGGGCAGCGAGGAAGCCACTTCTCTCCAGGAAAAACATCAGGGACAGACTGATATTCTGGAAAAGGTACAGGGATTGGACTGCTGAGGACTGGGGTAAAGTCATTTTCTCTGATGAATCCCCTTTCCGATTGTTTGGGGCATCCGGAAAAAAGCTTGTCCGGAGAAGACAAGGTGAGCGCTACCATCAGTCCTGTGTCATGCTAACAGTAAAGCATCCTGAGACCATTCATGTGTGGGGTTGCTTCTCAGCCAAGGGAGTGGACTCACTCACAATTTTGCCTAAGAACAGAGCCATGAATAAAGAATGGTACCAACACATCCTCCGAGAGCAACTTCTCCCAACCATCCAAGAACAGTTTGGTGACGAACAATGCCTTTTCCAGCATGATGGAGCACCTTGCCATAAGGCAAAAGTGATAACTAAGTGGCTCGGGGAACAAAACATCAACATTTTGGGTCCATGGCCAGGAAACTCCCCAGACCTTAATCCCATTGAGAACTTGTGGTCAATCCTCAAGAGGCGGGTGGACAAACAAAAACCCACAAATTCGGACAAACTTCAAGCATTGATTATGCAAGAATGGGCTGCCGTCAGTCAGGATGTGGCCCAGAAGTTAATTGACAGCATGCCAGGGTGGATTGCAGAGGTCTTGAAAAAGAAGGGTCAACACTGCAAATATTGACTCTTTGCATAAACTTAATGTAATTGTCAATAAAAGCCTTTGACACTTATGGAATGCTTGTAATTATACTTCAGTATACCATAGTAACATCTGACAAAAATATCTAAAAACACTGAAGCAGCAAACTTTGTGAAGACCAATACTTTTGACCACGACTGTACTTGTAGAGTATATTATTTAAAACAACCATGTCAGGCCCGTGGGAAAAGTGGCTATCAAGCGCTTCAATGTGCAGTGGCCTTCATCATACAAGTTCAAAACATGTGAACGACCACTTTAACAGAAACGTATCAGTGGACCATATCAGTACGAGCCAGGCCTCAGGAGGAAGGAAGTACAGTATTAATGCAACACAACAGATGTGGAGCTTGGTGTAGAGCCAAAGGAATAGGGGTATATAATGGGGAACACAAAGGCAAGTCATCCCGAAAGGGCAAAGCACGACACAGTAAGCCTAAAGTGGGGAAAAATCTAATTGGACTTCTCCAAACCACTAGCGATTCTAGTAAACGTCTAGCTCCAACAGGATACAGAAAGACCACGAAGGATAACGTTGGTGTGAAGTCCATCTGAAATGAGTTTGGTCCAAAGCTGGAGGTTTTAGGAAGCAGGAAAAAGGGTGGATTTGGGAAGTTTGGGAAGGCGGCTTTTCCCACACGTACAGATCTGGTGTGTTGGGCTTTTGGGGATCAGAGAGGTATTCTGATCAAACAGAAAACAGGTGTTGGATAATCAAAGCTGCTCCGGATGTGTGGCCGATGTTTGAGACCCACAAACGTCATGGACTAAATCGGAGACAGACCCGGATGACCTCGGGTCCAAAATTTCAGCGTTAAAGGTGGGGACACATGAATAATGGAATTGATTCAGATGCGCTAGGCTGGACTTTCATCAAGGGCTATTCACTGACACAGTTGATTAAACATGTGTGTGTGTGCGTGTGTGTATGTGTGTGTACCGCAGTATCTCTCCCACGGCTTTCATGGTGGTAGTTTCTCTGCATTTTTGGACAGACTTTGCAGCAGGGTTTTCTGAAAGTCCTCCTCAGATGTTTCGGGGACGAGGAACTCGAGGAGAAGGTCCCAGATACAGTAGACCAGGTGTCTGTACCGGGTAAGAGTCACAGGTTAAAAGGTCAGGGGTCTTCCAGAAATCTGCTGTCCAACATTTCCTCTCTCCAAAAGTATACACCATTTCATTCTGGCAAGTTACAGGTGGATATTTTAAGTTTGTTTAAAATGTTGAAAACGTCGTCATTTGTGGCTAGCGAGTTTTACAATGGGCCAAATCACAACCTAATATTTCTGCAATTCTGTTGCAATTTCCCCCATTTACATCAAGGCATGATTTTGGCGAAAGCATACAGGCCAAGAGGACCATAAGGGCCAAAACCTAAGCTCCTACAAGGTTCAACGAGCCAAATTACTTCAGCAATGGAATCCTTACAAATGGCTGTGTTCTTCGTTCCAGTGATGTAAATTCATGAAACAACTCTCTTAATTCTAACAGCATGTTTCAAACACTACAGGGACTTAGTTGAGTCGTAAATATATTATACTGTACCTTGCGCACACACACCTTATTTGAACATTTCAATAAGAAGATGAATTGTGATACATGCCACTATAATCAAAACTGATGTATCTTAAGAACAAAGGGCTGGCAATGTATAAATCATCAGCTTGACCCACTGGAAACGTGTCTGGAAAGAGGTATATCATATGGAACACGCTATAAAGCTTGGCTGATGCCCACTGATTCACAACCAGCTCATCACTTAGCTTTAGAACCCTTTATCAATACCTCATGTCATGTTCCTTCATAATCTATTGCAAGACCATGATGTCAGGCTCTTTAAATCACGGCCATACAGACAGGCAAGTGACGTAGTGTACATTACTTTGTTTTGTGTGTGTGTGTGTGTGTGTGTGTGTGTGTGTGTGTGTGTGTGTGTGTGTGTGTGTGTGTGTGTGTGTGTGGTCACCTGTTTATGTAAGGGTCCTGCAGAGATTCCAGTGCAGTCTGCCAGCTTAGTTGGTATTTGTCAGAGCCCAGCATATCTGAGAGCAGATCTGTAAACACAGAAGAGTACAAATATAGGACCGTGAGGCCGCACAGGACTCCACAGGGAAAAACTAAAAACATAGCTAGTTGGATATAGTAAGACCAGCAGTCCCTGAAATGGCTTCTTATAAATATCAATAGTTAGTTTACATGATTGAATTTACATTAAATGCCATTGTATTGCACATAAGCAATAATACTACTGTAATACAAATGAATTGTATGTTTGCAGAGCTCGATAGGAATGAGTGTGTATGGGCCAGGAGTTTTTCCTGATCATGTGCTGTACTGGACTCCAGACCAAAGTTATAACCTAGTTCCTTTTTCATGGTCAGGTCACAAGGTCAGGATAAACTCCTGGGTCATGTTTATTAGTAAAGTTCATAAAAAAATTTAAAAAAATAATTGCAACGGAAAAACAAAAATGAGCGTTTCTCAAATTATGATGTGTACTATATTACGTATTGGATCACAAAAAAATACAACTTTTACATTACAGTGTAGTTTACCAATAAAATGGTCTGACGGGGATGTGGACATACTCGGTATACATATCCCGAAAGAAATGTCCTTTTACCCTTTATTTAGATTAAAACCTCTCACTTTCGGTTATTTGAAAACGAAATAATCTCCAAAATATTCTTATTTTTAAAACAAGCCATAGAAAGTTGTTTGCAATTTTAGTTTAATCCACCATAAAAGACAGAACAAATAATACAACAAATAGTGGTTAAACTCAAATATACAAATTGATAAAAAAAAAAAAAAGTATAATCTTTGTAAATGATATCATAAATAGGACTGGTGGTGTTGTCACACATGCAGCTAACAAAAATATATGGAAATGTCTGCTCTACCCCAAATTACAACTAACTAATTGCAGCATTACCGCAAAAATGGAAGAGGCAAGTGGAAGGGGGAAAAAGTAAGAAACTTGTCTGTCGGCCCTGAATTAAAGACCAAAATTGGTTAAAGAAAATTGTGATAAATAAACAAATTTACCAGTTTAATTTAAGTTCCAAAAAATTGACAGCTGTGCCATGTAGATTGCAAAATAGTTGGGAAGAGAATTTCGATGTACCGATTCCATGGCACATGGTTTATGAACTGATACGCAAAACGACGCCTGATTCAAAACCTTGAATTTTTCAATTAAAATTATTATACAAAATTCTTGCAACCAATAGAATGTTATATATATATGGGGGATACAACATTCCCAGTTCTGCAGATTTTGCTGCGAAGAGACAGTCATTAGATCATTTATTTTGGTACTGTCCATATGTAGCTTGTTTTTGGTCACATGTCCAAGAATGGATGAAGAATTGCAACATTTACCTGGAGCTAACGCTGCAGATAGCAATAATTGGTGATTTGAAAAGTCATAGTCAATCGACCAATAATATAATAGTACTTTTAGCAAAAATATATATATTTAATTTACAATCTGTAGAAACTATGAGAATAGGAAGGTTCAGAACTTTTGTGAAGCATCACAGCGCAGTTGAAAAATATATGGCAAATATAAATCCAATATGGATGATGTTAAGAGATAGATGGGAGGAGTTGAATGGAGCTGAGGGGTGGGACTAATAACAACAAGATAACAAATGTAAAATATTCTGTGTCTGTAAAATGTATAGGTTCAGAACTTTTGTGAAACAGGACAATAAAAAATATATGGCAAATAGAAATTTAAAAAAAAAATATATATATATATATATATACTACTGTAATACAAATGAATTGTATGTTTGCAGAGCTCGATAGGAATTAGTGTGTATGGGCCAGGAGTTTTTCCTGATCATGTGCTGTACTGGACTCCAGACCAAAGTTATAACCTAGTTCCTTTTTCATGGTCAGGTCACAAGGACAGGATAAAGTCCTGGGTCACGTTGATTAGTAAAGTTCATTACAAAAATACAATTAAATAATAATAATTGGAACGGAAAAACAAAAATGAGCATTTATTATTGAACAAGTCCATAATCCCTCTGGTTTCAGTCCATTTTCCTCCAATTTGGTGCCTAATGAACACGAGCCTGCCTCTTCATTATTAGTGATCCCTTACCTGGCAGTAGTTTCATGAGGCAGTGCAGGGACTGCTGCTTGGTGTCCTCCTTCTGTTGGTGGCTGCGCTCCGGGCGGGGCAGGGCTGGTAGGCTGCCCCCCGGCCACACCGCATCCTGCAGCACCCGCAGGTAGATCACCCAGTACTGGGTACAGGTCAGGTTAGCAACGCTCACGTCAAGCCACCTGCAAGTGACAGACAACACACACACACATCAGGGATGTGATCAGGAAAACATACTGTATAGAAAATCAGTAAAGATATAGGGCATTCGGAAAGTATTCAAACCCCTTGACTTTTTCCACATTTTCTTACGTTACAGCCTTATTCTGACATGGATTAAATCGTTTTTTTTCTTCATCAATCTATACACAAAACCCCATAATGACAAAGCAAAAACAGGTTTTTAGAAATTTTAGCAAATCAAAATATCACATTTACATTATTAGTATTCAGACCCTTTACTCAGTTCTTTGTTGAAGCACCTTTGGCAGCGATTACAGCCTCTTCTTGGGTATGACGCTACAAGCTTGCACACCAATATTTGGGGAGTTTCTTCCATTCTTCTCTGCAGATCCTCTCAAGCTCTGTCAGGTTGGATGGGGAGCGTCGCTGCACAGCTATTTTCAGGTCACTCCAGAGATGTTCGATCGGGTTCAAGTCCGGGCTCTGGCTGGGCCACTCAAGGACATTCAGAGACTTGTCCCGAAGCCACTCCTGCGTTGTCTTGGCTGTGTGCTTAGGGTCGTTGTCCTGTTGGAAGGTGATCCTTCGCCCCAGTCAGAGGTCCTGAGTGCTCTGGAGCGGGTTTTCATCAAGGATCTCGCTGTACTTTGCTCCGTTCATCTTTCCCTCAATCCTGACTAGTCTCCCAGTCCCTGCCGTTGAAAAACATCCCCACAGTATGATGCTGCCACCACCATGCTTCACCATAGCGATGGTGCCAAGTTTCCTCCAGACGTGACGCTTGGCATTCCGGCCAAAGAGTTCAATCTTGGTTTCATCAGACCAGAGAATCTTGTTACTCATAATAATATAATAATAATATAATATGCCATTTAGCAGACGCTTTTATCCAAAGCGACTTACAGTCATGCGTGCATAATTTTTTTTGGGGTGTATGGGTGGTCCCGGGGATCGAACCCACTACCTTGGCGTTACAAGCGCCGTGCTCTACCAGCTGAGCTACAGAGGACCACATGGTCCATGGTCTGAGAGTCCTTTAGGTGCCTTTTGTCATATGCCTTTTACTGAGGGGTGGCTTCCATCTGGCCACTCTACCATAAAGGCCTGATTGGTGCAATGCTGCAGAGATGGTTGTCCTTCTGGAAGGTTCTCCCATCTCCACAGAGGAACTCTGGAGCTCTGTCAGAGTGACCATCGGGTTCTTGGTCACCTCCTTGACCAAGGCCCTTCTCCCCCAATTGCTCAGTTTGGCCGGGCGGCCAGCTCTAGGAAGAGTCTTGGTGGTTCCAAACTTCTTCCATTTAAGAATGATGGAGGCCACTGTGTTCTTGGGGACCTTCAATGCTGCAGAAATGTTTTGGTACCCTTCCCCAGATCTGTGCCTCGACGCAATCCTGTCTCGGAGCTCTCCGGACAATTCCTTCGACCTCATGGCTTGGTTTTTGCTCTGAGATGCACTGTCAACGGCGGGACCTTATATAGACAGGTGTCCAATCAATTGAATTTACCACAGTTGGACTCCAATCAAGTTGTAGAAACATCTCAAGGATGATCAATGGAAACAGGAGCACTTGAGCTACATTCTGAGTCTCATAGCAAAGGGTCTGAATACTTATGTAAATAAGGTATTTCAGTTTTTTATTTGTAATAAATGTACAAACATTTCTAAAAACCTGTTTTCACTTTGTCATTATGGGGTATTCTGTGTAGATTGATGAGGGGAAAAAAGAATTTAATCCATTATAGAATAAGGCTGTAACGTAACAAAATGTGGAAAAGGGGAAGGGGCCTGAATATTTTTCGAAGGCACTGTAGATCCGTAAAGATAGGAGGTCAGTGTGGGGGTAGGGTAAATGTTCATGAAAAGAGGATGATGGCAGAGAAGCAGATACTCCTGATGAATCAGGGAATATCACATCAGTAAAATGATCAGGACAACATAGAAAGTTTCACTGAGTATGAATAGAGGATGATGGCAGAAAAGTAGGAATTCCTGATGTATCAGCAAAAAGCAGCACATCCCTGCACGGTATTCAACGGATATGTGAGAGGCTATTCCAATGGAATCATCCCAAAATGCAAACCCTCCCTGTCTGGCATTCCAGGTAGGCTCAACCAAATGCTCAGCGTATTTGGAAGATTTAAAATACTAGGCTTGGTTTGTGCAGCATGTGTCAAACCAGCGAGCGCACGTGAGGTTGCATTGACATTCATCCAGACTGAGAATCTATAGCATTGACAAGCCAAGATGTACCTGTGGAAGTAATTTACGTGGCGAAATACCACCTGAAAGTACAGATTAAGGCACAGTTCCTTTAGTTTAAACATCAATTTACTTCTGACAAGGCAAACCGTCCACTTCTAAATGAAGGATTTGTGTATGGCGAGGAGGACATTTTACTCCCAACAAGAGTAAAACCTGTTTGGCAAACAATACATTGAAGAGACAGTATGACACACACACACACACACACACACACACACACACACACATAAACAACAGGGTCCACGCCACACTGACTTACAGCATGTAGGCACAGAATGCAACAACCCGCCATCCACATAATGTGCAGAGGTGTTTTGAGCACAAGGTAATGGCCATACAACATTCCAATAGCCTTATAGAAATACAGTAGATGGTATTAATCAACTAAACAAAAGCAGTCCAAAGAACGTGCCATGCCTGTAAAATGATTGGTTTGTTTACAGTCATACACACAGGGAGAGAAGATTTGCTGTTGGTCTCTTGAGTAGGGCTTAAGCAAACAGTGAACACAAAAATAGTTTGTATCCAGACTGTATTCAATTGGATGAGAGACTTGATCAAAATCAATTAATAACACTCTGCAGATGTTACATAATACTGTAAAATGCTACAAAAATATGTTCTAAATAATGTCCTTCAAGGCCAAATCCCTTAATTTAGTTATTTCATTACAGGTTTTTTCGGCCCGTGTTGCCACACACTATTGAGGGACATGGACGGTTCTGGGAAAACGTGGATCTCGTAGCTTTTTTTTTTCCACTATCTTACACCCTCTCATTGTTAGTATGTTTCATAACAGCGAGTCTGGCTTCCCAAGCCAATACATGATGACATCCTGACATTTGTGTGGAACCATGATGTGGGACTGTGAGATAATGTTACTATAAAGCCTATGAAGGATTGCCTGCTAAGAACCTCTGGCAAGATTGATGTGAGCAATTATTATCGTTGCACATATGTTGTATGCCTTGGAGGGAGAGAGAAGATAAGTTAATAGGAAAAATACGTTCCAATGAGTGAACTTCGGAGTTCAACAAATAACAATGACTAGGAGTTCTAATGAGAAAATACAACTTATGTAACACAAGTAATATGGATTCCGTACTAAAATGTGTTGCACATTGAGCTCAATACTTGCTTGACTGAAGAAACTGTCATGTCTCACAGAGCAGCTATTAATTCTGGGAAGTCGACCTTGGCATTTGATTGCCACGGATCTCCTATTCTTCATGCCTCTGAAGTTTACTCTGCTGTTTTATTTTAGCCCCCTCATTAAAACCTCAGAAGGTGGACAATGATGAGTGTCCATTCAACGCCACATCCTGACCGGAGACAAGCGCATTAGCCTAAATCATAGTCGCTTACAACAACAGAACAGCGGAGACGAGTCGAAAACACAAACACGTGGGCACGAGCTGCCCAGGCCAAACATACTTTCTTTCAGACAAACATTAAAAAAGTGCTTTCTTTTTTCCCTCATTTGGGAAAATCTTTGGACTTTGCGGCAGATCCTGCTGAAAGCATTGGGAACCTGCCATGTCTCCCCCGTCTACAATGTCCTGGGAGGGCTGGTCTGGTCTGGTCTGGTCTGACATGCATGCGGTCGTGGTTTATGTCTTGGGGAAGCAGCAGTCACTCCAGCTCCTCCTACCCTGTCACTGGGGAGGTTTATAGCAGCCCGACTGCACTATTTCATCAGGAAACCTGGAGGCCCTGGAAACACTCCCAGCAGGGCCTTGCGCTCTTTGACACGCTGTGATGTCTTTCACAGTCAGCGTCAGAGTAAGTCATGTTCACGTTGAAATATCCTCGCCCTGACTTGGTGCACCTGGTGAAGGTCTCCTACCATGAGTAACGATGCAGGGAAACCAACCTAAGAAGTAAGCCTACACAGTGGGCGATGTTGTCTCTGGAAAAGATCATGCATCTTGCCATTTCGTGAATTCCCACCACCACATACTCTCTAAATATGTTATACAATACAGTACATATTACAGTATCATTGATGAAAATGATGCAACACAAAGTGCAATAGCTAACCAGCCACTCAATGTTAGCATCGGTGGATGGAATGCAGGCCTCTTGGGATAACAAGAAGAAAAAAGCTGCACTGGTCCAGACAAACCATTTAAGGGCTGACGTTGGACCACAGCTAATGTAAGGTGATGGAACTAAAAAGCAAGTTGTTTGGAATCAACAGTAGTAAAAAAAAAATCCTAGTGGTCCTCTGTAGCTCAACTGGTAGAGCACGGCGCTTGTAACGCCAAGGTAGTGGGTTCGATCCCCGGGACCACCCATACACAAAAATGTATGCACGCATGACTGTAAGTCGCTTTGGATAAAAGCGTCTGCTAAATGGCATATTATTATTATTATTACTACTGGCCCGGTGGGCAGTTTATGAAGTGCAGCCCATTTTGACTGGCAGCGACTTTGACAGGGACACGCAGCATTAGCAGAGAATACATTTCTCCACCTCTGGAAGAATGGAAAAAAAGGGTTACTACGCTCTCCCCGTAGCCAGCCATGTTTAAACAACCCTGTTTCAAATTCTAATAGGTGCCTTGATTTCTTCTGACACTGCAAAAACATCAACGTGATAACTATATTCCATTTGGAAAAGTGCCTAATTGACATGTGAAATGAGCTCGGAAAAAGTGACACAGCCCACGACGTGGTGTTGTTCGTGTGGGCAATGGAAAGGGGAGTCCACACGCCTCATTTGGAGGAGTGAGAAAGACAGTTAATTCATTGTCTGTGACAGACAGAGACAGACCCTGATGCACATGCTTGGAGGAACCCCTTAATATCACCAGATTTGGAGCATATTGGCTCTGCTAGTTCATTTTCATTGCTTCTCACTGGAACCCTTGGTGAAACTCCTTAGCTGCTTCTAAGTGAGATGACAGCTGAAGAAGCAGTAGACCACTCTCACCTTCATTTAATACCTTGATACACACAGGGTTAATGAAAAAAATGAATGGAAAAGCATCTTCCTGCTGACATAGACCAGGGGTGTCAAACTCATTCCATGGAGCGCCTAGTGTCTGCGTGTTTTAGTTTTTTCCTTTCAATTAAGACATGGACAACCAGGTGAGGGGATTTCTTTACTAATTAGTGACCTTAATTCATCCATCAAGTACAAGGGAGGAGAAAAAACCTACAGACACAGAGCCCTCCGTGGAATGAGTTCGACACGTGATGTAGACGATTATCAAAATGGACTTCAGGATTCAGAAGTCCATCATGAAGAATGCACTATAACACTTGAGAATGAAGAACCTGTGCTTTATTGTTAGGTTTATCCTGCCATGGCTGTGGGTTCCGAGCCTGTCAAACCAGTTTAAAACATGAGGCCTGTCTGGGTTCAGGCTTTAACACTCATTCCATGTGATCTGTGTAAAACCATTCGGTGCCAATAACATAAACTGTAGCTGTTATTCTAAAACCTTGGGTGAAAATAACACAAGGACTTGGGACTCGGTAGCCAATAGTGAAAACGATCAACAATAATGTGGAGGAAGACATGAAAGGGTTTTTACGGAGCTCAAACAAATGGGGAAAATAAAACGACTACTTTCTCTAACGTCGGACTCCAGCACAGCTGAATTAGCAGACATTGCGTACTAATTAAAAAATTGCTGTTGGATTAAATACCCCATCCAAATCCTGCATCACACTTCAGTTTAAATTACGACAACACTTAATCGGCTCGATGACCTAAGCAATATCTGATACATTTCCACTTCACTCAAGACTCAAAATTGCATTGAGTTAATTACCAGAATCAAAACATCCAACAAAAGTCAGAATGATGGATTTTAAGCATGGCCTGAGTGCAGGTGTTAGTGAATGCAGATGTACTGTGTAAGTGCACAGGGCAATTTAGCAAAAAAGGCTAACGTCCATCCATCCAACTGCTAGTTGAATTCCCACAATGGTGGTGCCAAACAGAGCAAGACAACCTGCCTAGGCTGCCAAAGAGCTGAATTCCATCAATCTATTTAGCTAGCAAAATAATCAAACTGGGAATGGAGGTCTGCAGCCAGCCTTTAAACAACTCATTACATGTTAACAGACTGTTACACAAACCCAGAGGCACACTGGACTGAGACAAAGTGTTCCTCCTCAGTGCAACGTGCCTGCTTTAGCTCACAGTAATAACTTGCATCAACAATACTAAAGCCGATGTCATACACAACAAGAGCAATTTTCTCCTCAACCACCTAAACCAAGGTCCAGGGAAAGATTCCAAGGGACTTAAAGGGATACTTAAGGATTTTGGCAACAAGGCCCTTTATCTACTTCCCCAGAGTCAGATGAACTCGTAGATACCATTTTTATGTCTCTGCGTGCAGTTTGAAGGAAGTTGCTAACTAGCGTTAGTACAATGACTGGAAGTCCAAGGGTATCTGCTAGCATGTTAGTAAATACGCTTAGACTTCCAGTCATTGCGCTAACGCTAGTTAGCATTGGCTCACAAAACTACCTCTAACTTCCTTTATACTGGACACAGACATAAAAATAGTATCCACAAGTTCATCTGACTGTGGGGAAGTTCCAAAATCCCGAAGTACCCCTTTAATGGAGGACTCGTTTGCTTGTAAAAAACGAAACAACACAACCACACGGATGTGATAACAACACAACCACACGGATGTAATAACAACACAACCACACGGATGTAATAACAACACAACCACACGGATGTAATAACAACACAACCACACGGATGTAATAACAACACAACCACACGGATGTAATAAAGAGTGAAAGACAAACAAATAACCACGTATTTATGGTACGTCGGTTATACGAGAGTGCCGTCTTTATCCGCCGGCTACATCCCCAAAGTGGCTCCAGATGGGCTGTGCTGCAAACTCTGCCTTATAATGAATGAACATGGCCTTCAGCTACAGACCAACAACACTGGCTGGAGAGGGGGACAGCTGGGGATTACTTCTGACCACAACAACAAAATGAATGCTACTCCTCAGTCCAAAGACAATAGAAAATGGTATGGCTAGGCCACCGCTAACTGCCAATCACCTGAAACACAATGCCATTCTCCATGTATCAGGGTGCTAATTACACATCCACAAAACGTCTAATTGGAGCTTTAACGATAAGCAAAAATAAACAACTTAGGACCTTGAGATAGGATATAATTTGCGTGACACCTTCCTTCCTCAACACCGGTAAAACCACCTCTACTTCAGTCAGAGGCGCTGCGACTGCATCCGAACCCTGATAACATCTCTGCACATCGATGTGAAGCCAAGAAATGGTGTACTCTGGGTCTCAATTAGTCTCGGCCCTCAAGGCCAAGTGCTACATCAGAGGTTTGTGTAAAGTACGAGAGGAGAAATCTCAGGCATAATCAAAGCCAAGCCAGAGTTTACATCTCCGAGAACATTGGGCAGATGGCCTGTGAGCAATAAGGCGCATCACCAAGGGGCTCTTGAGAGGTCTGTCTCTGTCTGACGAGTCCTGGTGGATGTGGATGTCTGCTAGAGGAAACTCCTTAACTGTCTGTGTCCAGAAAACCTCAGGGGGGGGGGGGGGGGGGGGGGGGTGCACAGCTAAGGCTGACAGTTGTATAAAAAAATGGGTCCTCTTCACTTGAGAGCTCACAGGGAAGAGCACATATTTTTTCTTATCTTGACTGTCCATAAATTGGAAAGGACTTACGGGAAGTCTGCCGCTGAATGACTAATGTTAATTACAGGCCCAGCAGAACCTCATAAGGGATAGAGGTTGGGGGGCTGACAAATAATGACACAGCAGAGTGGGGGCTATTCAGTGGCAATGCTGGGGCCTGTGGCGCCATTATGAAGTGTCTTTAGCACTGCAGGCATACAATAGACACACACTACTGGGCTAACTGCGGCTCCCACAAAAAGGGGCTATTTTATGAATCTCCTCTGGATCCGACAATGCCTTGGAGGGAGACTCATGACTGTTAAAAACCAGGGGTGGATATTGTGTGTGAAGTTCTGTGAACACGTGTGGCTGCACATAGGCATGCCAGCACAAAGTGTGATCATCAGAGTGAGACTGATAGCTTGGTGAACACCTCAAATAACCCCTACTGACCTCAACAGAACACACTATGCTGTGCTTCTATGTAGGCCTATTAGGCAAGCTTTACAAATTGCGTTCAATCCGAATTTTGTAGTAGAGACATGGAGAGAATGTAATTAAAACTCACACAAAGCAATCCAAAATCCCTTAACAATCTTCCTCTGTTCTTTGCACACAAGTGGTCAAGAGAGGTTAGAAGACTAAATTAACAAGAAAAAGATGGTAGAACAACATGTTAATAAAGATTCAGCCTTTGTGAAATATTTTCATTACAGAACCATAGATTATCAAGGGTTAACTATCAATTGATAGCTCAAGCTATTAAAATGCTATAGTTATCTTGTTGCCAGAGAGTTAATTAATTAATTTCTTAAATTCATTATAATGGCAGTCTCCTCTGTAATTGTTCATGGAACGCACTTCCAGTGTTGATATTATAGCACACAGTGCATGTTAAAAATAACCACATACCAGACTTGAGCTGTGCTTACAGTAACCACCTCCAAGAGTGGGAAGCCATTTGGATGGGACAAAATAAGCAGTCGGTCAAATTGGTCAATGTTGTTGTAATTAAGTGTTATTAACAGCCCCAAACAATGCAGCTGACTTCCTGGTAAGAACAGAGGAGTGTGATCATCTCGGTTGCATTTCTCTTCAAATAGATCCATCTCCACTGTGGTCTTTATTCTGACAACCTTATATGGTGTCTGGTGTCCTAATCCTTCTGGAATGCCTGTGTATGTGAGGAGAACGCTGCATCAGAGTGCTAGTGTAGCTCAGTTGGCCTCCTGTAGCTCAGTTGGTAGAGCATGGCGCTTGCAACGCCAGGGTTGTGGGTTCGATTCCCACGGGGGGCCAGTATGAAAAATGTATGCACTCACTAACTATGTGTCACGCCCTGACTCAGGCGACTCGTATATGTTGAGTCAGGGTGTGTATATTCTTTGTTATGTAGTATTTTCTATGTGGGATCTAGTATGTTTAGTACTATGTTGGCCGGTGTGGTTCCCAATCAGAGGCAGCTGTCGCTCGTTGTCTCTGATTGGGGACCATACTTAGGCAGCCTATTGGCACTATTGAGTTGTGTGTGCTACCTTGGACTTCACGTTTCGTTTGTTTATTGTTTTGTCGTGTGTTTATTCAGTTTAAATAAACATGTACGCATATCACGCTGCGCCTTGGTCTGACCCGTCATTGAACGAACGTGACACTATAAGTCGCTCTGGATAAGAGTGTCTGCTAAATGACTAAAATGTAAATGTAAATGTAAAATGTAGTGCTTACCAGACCTGGGTTCAAATAGTATTTGAAATATTTGAAATAAGTTGAGTGTTTGCTTGAGCCTGCCTGGAATATGCCATATGGGTGGGGTTTGCACTCTCAGGACTATTTCATTGGTCCCATTCCGCCAGGAGAGCTCAATCAAGCACGGCTTAAGTATTGGAAAGATTATTTCAAATGCTATTTGAACCCAGGTCTTGTGCTAACATGTTCCATTGAAACCTCTGCTGAGCCAATTAGCATCCAAAAGGTGTCTGGCAGACGAGGCCTCCAGGCAGCCTTCAGACTCCAGGCAGATAGTGAGCCAGAAAGGCCAGCAGTAGCAGGAGCAGCACAGTCCAGTATTACCTAGTTCTCCTCTGGCCTCTGATGTGTCTGTTTCCACTGAGGCACTAGCTGACCTGGCCTAACCTGGTTTGGTCTGGCGTCGTCAGATCACCGTCTCCATCCACCATATACCCCGTCCATGCTACGCCGGTGTTTGTGTGTGTGCGTACACGTTTTACTATACTTGTGAGTACCAGAACTCCTCACAAGAATGGTAAACCAACAAAAAATGTGGGGTTAAGGTTATGGTTATAATTAGGATTAGGGGTTGGTGGTTAGGTTTAGAATTAGCGTTAGGAGTTAGGTTAAATAGGATTTTGAATGGGAATCAATTGTTGGTCCTCGCAAATATAGTAAGACATATCCCTGTGTGTGTGTGTCTGTGTGTCGGGGGCTGTTTTTATTGGGAGTGTTGTGGCGCCTCATTCCATCGGCTGGTCAACACACTGACATCTAACGTTACTGATCGTGTGTGGCTGGGGCAGGTTTTCAGAAAGGCTGATTTCACAGTCTAGTGCATCGCGCCAGGGACAGTTAGAGGCCCTGTGTCTCTCCAGCATCCATCCTGCTAATAGAGTCTCAGACTGAAGATTAGTTCCCCCCGCATAGGACAGACATCCTTGAACCAATTTCTGGTGACAAATGGCATGTAAGTCTATACCAACGATTGTGGTCGGGAGGACTACGGCATTATAGCTACCATGAAAACCACCAGAATCATTTTCTCATTACAGTCTATCTAAAAGATATTACTAAATTATAGGAAATGGGATAAAGTTGAGAAAGATTGGATACTGCAATGGTGTGGAAACCAAAGAAAGTATAAGGAAAATGTTATACACCTAACATTCCAATAGGTGCCAAGCCAGTACCCAAATCTTAACACAGGCAGCACACTGCTCATAGAAGTCAGGAACAATATGTACATGCCTGTGCCCCTGTATGTTTTAACAATTACCATACATGGATCGGATTAGTTACTTTGCCAATAACTTGTTTAAATTCATCGTTGTCATTCGCAAACCCTTCACTGCCATACATATTAGTAAACAAGAGTGATTGTATATGCAGCCTATGAGACGGTTTTAGAAGATGTAGTAGAAGACCAGTCAGTCTGGGTGAAATACACGTCTCTCACATGAGAAATGAGAGGAGGAACCTGCCAGACAGTATTTCTCTCTGTTAGTAATTACTCTTGTGGGTTGGGGCTTGCCAGGAAAGAGCAATTTACGGCAGCAGGTGACATGTCATCCTGAAAAGAATATCACGCAGCAGAATTTCCTTGCGGTCGGAGCGTCACACGACGAGAAGAATACCAGGAGCCATGAGCGACCGCCAGCCCAAGATAAGCACGCCCGAGAGGGAGAGAGGGTGATGGAGAGGAGCTGTACTCGCCAACATCCCACCCTTACGAAAAAAGATTTCTGTCAGAGTGCATTGCAGTCAGAGTGCAGTATCACTGCAGTACGCTTCAGTATAACTGCAGTTAGAGTCCAGTATAAAGTGTCTAAAATACCACAGTCGACTGCAGTTACTGCACTTCTACCGCAGTTTCAAAACTGCAATCTTTTTTTTGTAAGGGCAGCCTGCTCAGAAATAAATAGTACCTCAAAGCTCAGCAGACCGCTCCAATCAAATCCAAGATGTCAATCAACCCAAGTGACAGTTTCAGAAACATAGCCTAATCAAACTGTCAGGCAATAATCACTTTAAGGCAGGGCAACTCTAAATATAGCGGGAAGGATAGTTATAACTACATTTACACTACCATTCAAAAGTTTGGACACATCTACTCTTTCAAGGGTTTTTCTATTTTTTACATTGTAGAATAATAGCGAAGACATCAAAACTATGAAATAACACATAAGGAATCATATAGTAACCAAAGAAGTGTTAAACAAATCAAAATATATTTTAGATTTAAGATTCTTCAAATAGCCACCCTTTGCCTTGACTTGATGACAGCTTTGCACACTCTTGGCATTCGCTCAACCAGCTTCATGAGGTAGTCACCTGGAATGCATTTCAATTAACAGGTGTGCCTTCTTAAAAGTTAATTTGTGGAATTTCTTTCCTTCTTAACGCGTTTGAGCAAATCAGTTGTGTTGTGACAAGGTAGGGGGGTATACAGAAGATAGCCCTATTTGGTAAAAGACCAAGTCCATATTATGGCAAGAACAGCTCAAATAAACAAAGAGAAACGACAGTCCATCGTTACTTTAAGACATGAAGGTCAGTCAATACGGAACATTTCAAGAACTTTGAAAGTTTCTTCAAGTGCAGTCGCAAAAACCATCAAGCGCTATGATGAAACTGGCTCTCATGAGGACCACCATAGGAATGGAAGACCCAGAGTTACCTCTGCTGCAGAAAATAAGTTCACTAGAGTTACCAGCCTCAGAAATTGCAGCCCAAATAAATGCTTAACAGAGTTCAAGTCACAGACACATCTCAACATCAACTTTTCAGAGGGGACTGTGTGAATCAGGCCTTCATGGTCAAATTTGCTCAAAGAAACCACTACTAAAGGACACCAATAAGAAGAAGAGACCTGCTCAATCCCTGCTATGCCAAATCTGCTGTAAACTAATGGCCTGACCACCAGTACAGTGGACTCAAACAAAAGCTGGGCGCCTGCAATGGGGTCTTCCTCCACAGCTGGGTGAACGACTCATAACTCAAGAGTTTGAAGCACAGCAAGACCCTCTGTGCAATAAAAATAACCAGCACCACTGTTAGAAACTACCATCTCTGAGGGATGTCTATTTTGGGGCCAATCATTTAGGCTGAACAGCTGAACTCACCCTGGCTGTGAATGAAAAGCATTCACCATTAAAGAACAACAAGGCCTCACACATTGTTAACTCTGGATAAAAAAAACGCAGCTTTGACACCTGCCCAAAAAGCGGCTAATGAAACATTTAAATTGAGAGAAATAAAAATAGTCTGTACTGGGACAAGGCGGAATCGAAGCCAGCACAATAACAGAAAAACATTGCCTTGAAACAGCTGGTGTTTAAGTAACAGTAATACACATCTGTAACATTTCGGGCCTGTCCATTAGTATACTGGCAGGACCCATCATTCCATCTTTCCCCTCCGAAAATGGATGTTGGCTGTGAACTGTTGCTGTACACTATAGCGCAAATGACCATGTGACATGGCTAAACATCTCACCGCATGGATCTGCTCCACACATGACAGCAGAGCTGGAGAGCCGAGCTGTACAAGCTGTGGTCAGACTCGTCCTCAGCAGAGGCAGACACGTTCTTTAAAGGCAGGAGGAGGGAGTGGAATAAGAAGGCCGGCTGAGTGGAAGACGAATAAACAAGAAGAGCCGGATCCAGAAATATATAGATGCAATTAGACTACCAAGATGATCGTATGTCTCTGGTTTGCATTGTGTCATTGTGAAAATAAGGGCCCTTAAACGTGTCTTTTCAAATTCAACAAATAAGCAAATGCACAGTGATCATAATAATGTGTGAGTGTGAGTTTTGTGTGTTGAAAATGCACCAACACTGCTATTTTAAAGCGATCATTACATATTAAGCCTGCTACACTGTTAAATCTGGAAGTCTGACCAGAGTCTTCAAAGGCTCATTGCATCCCTGAACATGTGCGGTCATTGCTAAATTAAGCAGAGACTGAAACGTCTTTAATTAAAACCACATGCTATCACCGTGGCTGAAAGCGAAGCTCTATGGCTGGTCCCAGGGCAGATATTAAACACAGAGGCTAAAGGGAACAGGGGAGAGGGGGGACGCTCCCGTTGACAAGTTTAAAACGCAGTCTACACTTCATCAAGCTGTCATCTGGCCCCGTGGCCCCCGGCTCACATTGTTTATGAAAAGTATTAATATTCCCGTTTAGGAATACAAATAAAGAATTGTATCATTGCATGACAGGTGCAGCAAGGCGGGCGGGGGGGGGGGGGGGGGGGGGAGCGTAGACCCAACGGGGTTAAAGATGTGAAACGTATAGTTGAGCTGTTAGCCTCCACACCTCCACCACGAACAAGTGCTCCATTCAAAAGTCCTGAGAAAGAAGGCAGTGTGCTGACGGAGTTGTAGGGTATTTCAGGTGCTACTCCAGCAGGGAACACCTGTACTTTGCCTATTCTGTCAAGGGTCATATTTGGCTTGCTGGCGAAGCTGTCGATTCATTACCTAAATACTGAATGACGTATTTTCTGGACTTGGGGAGCAAATGTTCCACACTGGAATATGTTATCAACTATGCTCAGCTGAGGCAAAAGGTTGTACCGAAGTTAAGCTACTTCATCCAACTTGACTACTGGGAGGTTTCAATCATCACTTCATGTATCACTGTTATATCATGCCAGTAAGACTGTGACATTCAATGCTAGGACAACAGTCCAGTACTGTATAGGCATGCCCCTGTTTCACAAACTAAAACTACAGGTGTCAGAAGTGGGATCCAAAATGACCAAAAATATGAAACTATCATTCTATTGAACTGACAATAGACAGGGGCTTAAGGGTGGAAATGAAATAGAATGGAAAAACAGTACAGGCAATTTGATAGAAAAAATAAAGTGGAGAGGACACAACACCTCGTCTTCTCACCTTGGGAATGCATCTGGACAAGTCTGAGAGCCATGTCATGCAAAACAGATCTCAGATTCCCTTAGCTTAAGATGGTCCCTTAAGTACACTGATGACTGAAGGATACTGCACATAACAAAACAAGCATATCATCACCCTGTGGGACCACCTTATGCGGAAATGTTACTCACTTATCTGAAACCAGCCAGAGTGAGAGGAGTGTTTGTGTGAAGGTCAAATCTATGCAAATGAAATTGCTGTCATTCACAAAGCCTAAAGATACTTTTTCTGCTGTTCCCTGTGTGAGGTTACATTATATATAAAGTCACTAAGAAGATTTTTTTATCCAAAGAGACTTACAAAACAATTAGTGCATAAATTCAGTATGTGTGTATGTGACCCCTGCAGGAATTTAACCCATGACCTTGGTGTTGCTAGCACCACACTCCTACCAACTGTACCGGACAGTATATGAGGCATATTGTTCAATGTGATAAGATTGTCAGTCATACCTTCGATGCTGTTCCTCTGAAGATTGTGCTTGCTTCATGTACAGACAAGAGACAAATCTGGCCTCGAGTGGATTTTCCAGACTTCTGTCTAAGGGAGAATATTTTCATCTTAGATTGTCCCAGTTTCCAGTCTATAAAATGATGCATCTCCCTAACCAATGCCTTGGACCCCATTTACGAGAGCAAGTCTCCAGCCAAATTCTTCACACAGACCCAGACGTTGTGTGTTGGAGGCCTGCTCCATCCACTCGCGGTTCTTGATTAAAGCAGAGCAGACATGCAAGCGGTGCCGGTGACAGACATGGATCGGGTTTCCATGGCCTGCATCTCCTCTGCATTTTACTAAACGCTTATGTCATATTAAATAGGTTTAGCGCTGGTTTCTTGGCGTTTAAATATTGTAACTGTAAGTAAACAACTAAAATACTCCTACTGAAATTAAGTCATCGATGCACTGAACTGAGAAGTACTGAGAACCTTTAATCAAAGTCGGTAGTGTCTTGAAAACCTGAACAGATACAGACAGTACAGTCAACAGTAGCCAAAGCTATAGGCCTAGTAACTGTTAAGTCTAGCTAACCTTTCCCTTGTTAGAGAATTTAAAGTGTGAGAGAATTTCAACTAAATGTGTTTGCCTCTACGGTCATCTCCAGAGGCATGGGGGTCCTTAGGGCCTGTCTGTTAGGGTAGGGTTAGCATAGCTGAGCAACGTGTGAGAAGATGAAGAGAGGACTGGTTGCCACCGTGAGAACGGTCTCTGCTGACAAACTGATGCTTTAAATAGCGGGGACCAACAACACATGGGCCACTAATACAGGGCCCTCTGTCTTTAGGGAGGGTTAGGTGACTTGGATTATACAAACCCAAGAACATTGTTTGCATGTTGACTTTACTGCTACAGGGTCAGCTATATTTGTCTATGACCGAATTTCTGTGAAGTTGTTGCTGAAGGCATTCACAGAGAAGGGAAGCCAAACAAACATATCAAATTCAAGATTCAGAGGTACCTTTATGACACCAGAAGTACCTTTCTTTCCACTCAAGAAAATATGCTTAATGAGCCTAAATTCAACATTTCAATAACCTCCAAACTTTACCTTTATCAATTAATCAAAATCATTCTATTAAACTTAAAGAGTATTACAGTTTTTACTCATAGAATTAGAATGAAGAATAGGAAGCTTCTACTACTTCATAAACAGGATTGGTCTTGCACGTGGCCAATCACGTCCCAGTCTGGCTGAGGCTCAGCTCACACATCAAGGCCCAGGGGCCCCTGTGATACGATACTTTCCGACTCTCCTGTTGAACGGAAACCCTCGTAAAAGTCGTCCGAGCGGCAAGAGTCAGAGGAGAAAATCTCATTAGGAAAACAAGTTAGCCTAAGCATTATCACAGCATCACCCATATTTATTTTGAACGGAACTAGGTCAAGCGTTTATACACCATCCTTTAGGCTTAATCTCAGAGAAGGAGTGTTAGTGCTGATATAGGATCGGTTTTGCCTTTTAGATCAGAATGAATACGATTATATGGGCAGGTCGGACCTGATCCTAGACCAGCACTCCTACTCTGAGACGCTTTGTGAATACAGGCATTGTTCTCCAAACTGCTTCTAATATCTTAGGACGCCAGAAATAAATGTTGTCAATTAAGATAAAATGCATTATCAAGATACTATCATTAGGTCTATCAAGCTTTAGGATACCTTGGTAGGCCTATTGATCATAGCAGAGAAGAACTTACTGTTTCAAAATCACAGTTTTCCCACAAAAAATGTTTTGAAACAGAAGCAACTAATCGCATAACATAGATCTACTGTAGGTACAGAGGCACTGTGGACAGTTATAAAACAGCAGGTTGAGGAAACTTGGAAAGAATTGATTTCTAAAGTGATTCAATATTTTAAAAAATAACTTTTCTTCCAAATCATTGTAAACCAGTAAATAACTGGATTCTGCGAAATGTGAAGAAAACATCTGGCTCGGAGCAAAAGGAAAAACATTCCTTTAAAATACGAGCTCCTGACAGATGGTATTGTGAAGCCATTTGAAGGGACCATGACAGACACGTTTATAACTGCGTGTTCCCACCTCTGTGTGTGTGAGTGTATTACTATCCTCATGGGTACCGGAAATCTCCAAAAGTCCCCACAAGGATAGTAAAACATGGGGACATTTCCAACATCCCCACGAGGACAATGGCTATTTTAAGCTTAGGGGTTAGGTTTAGGGTTACAATAAGGTTAGAATTAGGGTTAGGTTTAGGGTTAGGGAAAATAGTATTTTGAATGGAAATGAATTTTACGTCCCCACAAGGATAGTAAAAAATATGATTTGTGTGTGTGTGTGTGTGTGTGTGTGGTGTGCGCGTCTAGCCCTGAGTGAGAGCGTGTCGGACTCGGACAGCGGGGAGAGGCGAAAGGTCATTGGAGAATTTAAGAAAAATCTCCCCCTGCTTGAGACTACCCTTTCAAATAAATGACTGTGACACACATCGAGGCATGCACAGTAACAGGCTACTTGACCGCCAAAATAACAATTACCCTCAGAAGAGCCAACATACCTGTCCCATATGTGCGAGGAGCGGAGCGTGCCCAATTTGACTGGAGCACGGAGCGAGTTTCCCAAAAGCTGGAGCGTCGGACTTCTCTCCCGCTCCAATTTTGCTCCAGTAGAGCTCAATCATAAGCTCAGGGCATGCCCGGCCCAGCATGCATTTGTTGTCAACTTGTGTGCTGCTATAGCCCCTTGCTTTAGCTACTGTCATGGAGTTCACTAAATATTTTCATAAAGAAACTGATAAAACACACAGGTGCAAAATCAAGGTGACTTACAAAGATGAGGACCAAGAGCAAGAGAGGGAGTGTGGTGATGTCGTGTCCACAACTAAAGAATCATTATAGAATCTGAAAAGACACATTTCCCGAAAGCATGGTGGTGTACTTACTACGTGCACATGCTAACGGGAAAGGAATGAGGTGGGTAGCTAGCTAAGTGTGTCATTGTAGCAAAGTATTTATAAACAAAAAATCTGATCTCTTAAAAGTTTTGTTCATTTCCGTTCAATTATCTATACAATAGGCTATCATTGATATTTCAACTGAACATGTAGGTGGCTCACCTGCACATACTCCGACTCCTTTCAGAAGTAAGAGTTATTTTGTGCCTCCAGCCAATCGCAATCACTCTATTGAGACATATTGCAGACTCGTTGAAAAAGATGTTGGTAATCTCCTTAAGAACAAACATGAGTACATATCTTTTCAAAGTTTACCCAAGGATGAAAAAGAAGCTTTGCTTGATTTACAATCCGATACGTCAGTTCTTACCCGCCCTGCTGATAAGGGTGGGTCGGTTGTACTCATGGATAGTACAGTTTATGTAAATGAGTGTCACAGACAACTGCTTGACAACACCTTTTACAAGAAACTCAGAAGTGACCCCACTTCCCAATTTCAGAACACTATCTTTCCTGTCCTAGATGGGTATTTAAGTTCTGGTCAAATCACCAAAAAATAACACGATTTTTTGTCTATTCAACACCTAAAATTGCCACTTTCTATACTTTGCCGAAATTACTCAAGAATGTTACAAAAACTCCAGGGCGCCCTATTGTAGCGGGCATTGATGCAGTATCAACCTTTGTTGAATTTTTTATTAGACCACTTCGCAGAACAGCTCCCCTCCTTTGTAAAGGACACCAGCAGTATGATCTCTATTATTGAATCTCTTGATCCTCTCCCTGATAATACCTTGCTTGTTACTTTTGATGTTGAGTCCAATTTGTAAGTCGCTCTGGATAAGAGCGTCTGCTAAATGATGTAATGTAAATGTAAATGAGTCGTTATATACGAATATTCCACACGAGGGCGGTATTGAAGCCATGGAACATTTTCTTCTGCAACGTGACACAAATGAACTACCTTCCAGTGCGTGCATTATATAACATTGGCTGAAATAGTACTCACACACAACTACTTCATGTTTCTAAATTATTTATTTATTCAGACGAAGGGTACTGCTATGGGATCCCCTATGGCTCCTAACTATGCTAATTTGTATGTGGGTTACATTGAGAAACAGTCTATTTTCAATCCTCTCAAAAATGTTTTCTTGCCTAAGATTATTATTTGGAAATGGTACATTGATGATATTTTTGTTCTATGAAGGGGTGATTTAAAACAGCTCCAGGCATTCCATGGTTTTCTTAACTCTTGTTCTGAGCACCTGAGATTTACTATGCAATCTGACACACGTCAAATCAGTTTCCTTGATCTTCTGATTTTGTGTGAGGATAATGTTCAATACACTGATCTTTACAGGAAACCTACTGATCGTAACAGTTTGTTGAGGGCTGATAGTTGTCACCCGCTTCCCTTGAAAAACAGTTTGCCCTACAGCCAATTCTGTCGAATCAAAAGATTTTGTAAAAAAACAAATCAGATTTCGACCAAAATATGGCTGCGACGCAAAGAAAATTCAAGGAGAGGGGGTACAAAAATGGTCAGATTAATACTACCATTGAGAAAATTCTAAACAAATCGAGACTTGACCTCTTTCAGGGACAGTCTCGCAAAAAGAAGCATTCTTGCATTCTAACTGCACGCTATTCAAAGTGCTCTGAACAAATTAAGGGAATCGTTCACAAACATTGGCACATTCTAAGATCCGATGACAGTATTGGTAATGTGTTTTCGGACCCTCCATTGGTTGTATTCTCGCGGTGCAGAAACCTCAGAGATCAATTGGTAAACTCTGATTTACCACCCCTAAATATCCCTGCACAACGTCTATTTGCGCCTCTACCGGATGGAAACTACAAGTGTAACGGCTGCGCTCAATGCAATGGCACTTACAAATGTAGATCCTTCAAACCCCCCAAACAGGGAAACAGATCCCAATCAAAGGTGTTATTCTGTGCTCCACTAAGGCAGTTATGTATCTTATAACTTGTCCTTGTGGTAAACATTATGTGGGTAAAACAAAGCGCGAATTAAAAGTATGAATCTCGGAGCATCGTAGCACCATTAGGTGCAAAAACTCGACATACCCAGTCGCTGCCCACTTTTTGGAAGTGAACCACTCGATTTCGTCCCTACGTTATATCGGCATCGAACATATCACCCTCCCTAGGAGAGGGGGTGACCTCGACAACTTATTGTTAAAACGAGAGGCTGCCTGGATCTTTAATTTAAAGACCCTTGCTCCCTTCGGTCTCAACGTATACTTGATTTGAAGCCATTCTTGTGATTATTGTGATTTTGCTATTCATTGTAAATGTTTGTGGGCCTATGTAGCCAAGTTGTATCTATGATCGTATGCTATCCATGTTTTTTGTATGTTGTTTTTATCTGTGAATTGGCCAATGCTATTAGGCCACACCCGGCCATGATTACAGACACCTGCGTGTGTCCTTTGACACTATATAAACTAGTGACCCGCAGTGTTTCTCATTATACCCTGATGAAGACAGCTTGTCTGTCGAAACGTTGGTTATTATGATATTAACTTATTGCATCTGAGCTCCTAAAGTGTGCGGCTTTCCTTTTCTTTTCCAATAGGCCTGCTGACATATGACCTCTTTCAAGGAGCTTTCTGTTTTGATAGGGTTATTTAGGCCTACCTATAGATTTTGTATTGTTTTTTGTAACTCTGCATCCCTGCCCAGCCTGGCAAGAGTGGCCCAAAGGGTGTATAGCATCCCCAGTGGCTCTGCAAGCCTGGAGGGAGAGGATATTCTCCACTGCTGGCCTGCTCTCCAGGCACCATCCCATCAGCAAATAACCGGCCAAATTCGGGTTTCTAAAAGTGAATTCAAAGGCCTAATAAGGCATTTTTCATTTTATTTTTGTTTAATTCTAAGTCATAGCCTACATGCGCAATTTATAGACTATAATAATTTAATACAAAGAAATGTTGCTTAAATGCTGCGCGCTTAATGTTCATGCCAGCCTAGTGTGTCACACTTGCAAATGCTTCACCATTTATTTGTTTGGAGGCTATAGCCTTGAAAATAATAGGCTAATAATAATATAGCCTAAATAATTCATTTGTTCCTTCTTAGGCTCCCTCTCTGGCTCCTGACCTATTTAGAGTGTTTATATGCTGTTTAATATGACATGTAGCCTATTTGAAATGATGAGCGCTTCTTACAGTCACATTTTCATGTTGTTTATTAAAATACTTTTCATTCAAATCATATGGTTTGGTTTCAATACTTCAAAACCAAATGATAGGTCCAGGCAGTCACAAAATTTGATGGGTGTTGGTTAAATTGTGATTTTAATGAATGGAGTAGAATTTGGAGATGCAGTTCTTTTTTGGGTGAGCAAGGAGCGGTTTTTAGTGGAGCGGTTGTAAAGGACGTGGAGCGCAGGAGCGATGTGCAGGATTTCCGACCGCTCAACTCCACTCACATGCTCTGGCACCGACTACTGACCAGACATTCCTTATAGCCAAGTACACAACATCGCTGAGCTGCAAATTCTTTACGAGGTCAGAGATTGTGCTCTTGCACAACAGAAGAACCGTTTCTAGTTCAGAATAAACCACAACAACAACGTTGGCCCCTTTTGAGAACTCCTTGAGATATGTAAGAGACCTTACTTGTTTGACAAAATAATACTAGAACAATACTGTATCCACATAAGCCTTTTGCTAATTGCTTAATTCTAATAAGAGTTAGTGTGCACAGTAAGTCTAAATTAAATCCACTCACACAATCTTCTGAAAAGTTCCATTTTGAAATGATTGGTTCCTTAAGTCCTTATGTACTAGATATGGGAGGGCAGTGGCTGACTGGTAAGTGGTGACAGATGTCAACCAGTGTTGGTGGACTTGATAGAATGGAGTAGAGTAATAATGATATATCTATGGTCCATGCATTAGTACAGTACCTGTCAATGAGGGTTCCAAATAGCAGCCGGATAGTCTTCCGGATGTTGTCGGTGCACAGCCAGCTCCACTGGTCTTTCATCAGCAGACACATGATGTCTAGGGCCACGTCAGCCAGGGCCGTCTCTGCCACTGTGGACAGTACCACAAAACACACATACACACACGTAAATGACACGGATGCACACACACACACACATGCACACTTTACAAAGTAGCCCACATGCTTGAAACAAGCACATTAAACACCATTAGGTTTGAAGCATTGTGTATGTATCACTTTTTACAATGCATTAGCAGTGGTCCAAAGTAAAATCATTTAGAGAGAGCAACTGCATCTCAGTTTTCAACCAGAAATACAAAATAGCATTCTGGCAATGAAATATGAAAATACACTAAAGCCTCACGTAAGTGTTGGATATCTACTGTATGTCTTCAACATTATTGGCAACATTTGTCAGAGGGAATCTGCTAAAAAGGAAAAACCTATGATCCACACAATGTCAAACATTGACACAACCTGTAAGCTCTTGCTCCTGGACAGATTTCTCAGCATAGACAAAAAATGAATTTCTCTTTTAAATACCCCAAAACAAATGTTTGCCAATACTTCCCTCTAGTGGTGACATTATAGTACTGCATGGGTATGCTGGTCACAGCATTCAGGTTGTTTACTTTTCACCCTTGAAATGTTCATGAGAGATTTGGAACGGGATGTTTCAGACCTGTCTGGTCAGTGAGAGGGAGCCAGACGGCTCACCATGAAAGTCTGGCCCACATCTGAAACACGTCTCCTTTCAGACAAGACAATGAGCAGACTTTAAACATGGACGCCCCAGCAATTTTGATATAATTAAAAGGGACATGCTCATTCCAATGTCAAGTCGTGGGAGATAGTTTACATATGATGTCAAAGAGATCACCCTTTTTTCTAGGGCCATTCACTGGATTGGAGAAATACAACAGACTGCTAGTCTTCCATGTGTGGAGATTGAAGGAACAGGCAAGATCAGTTAGAGGACCTTAACCTTCTGTGCTGTCCACATTCCAAAACACTGCACATTCATAAACCGGGCCAGAAACGGAACTTTATCACAAGCCAAGATTTTTGTATGAACTTAGTTCCTGTATTGAACTAATGGGGAATTGAACAATATTGTGAGAGGTGTCATTGTGTACGTTTACGCACCCACAACTACTAAAAAAATCCACATTCCTTGCACAGTCCTTACCAGAATCTTGAATGGATGCACCTGGTAATTTATTCTGTGGGCATCCACAGCCTCCAAGTTCTCCTGTGAGGCCTGGACTGCATTCCCTCTCAGCCTCTGCATCACACATCACCGCTAGTTCCTGCTCCTTGATGAAGGCCTCTAGGCCAGCTATCGACAGGCCGTTAAACCCCTGCAAAAAGACAAGCATGACAAACGTTCATGGGTTTAAGGAGTAAAAGTACTGATAACAGAATTTCATGCGACAATTATCACTGTAGACAAGAGACCACAGCACAGTGAAGTACTTACTGTGCTCCCCTCATCCAAGCAGTATAGCACTTTAGGCCTCATGTCAGAGACATTAAGGACTGGGGTGATTTTACTGGAGAACCTTAGCCGGGACCTGAAAACAGACACAAAAGCAGGTAAGACAATCGATTGAATCAAATCAAACTTTATTTCTATAACAATGCATTTCACAACACATTTTACAGAAATGTAATGTGCATTTCATCATGAAATACTGTATACATACACCACCGTTCAAAAGTTTGGGGTCATTTAGAAATGTCCTTGTTTTCCATGAAAACATACATGAAATGAGTTTGAATAGGAAATATAGCAAATTGAATAGGAAATGTAGTCATTGACAATTATTGTGTCCTTCAAACTTTTCTTTCGTGAAAGAATCCTCCATTTGCAGCAATTACAGCCTTGCAGACCTTTGGCATTCTAGTTGTCAATGTGTTGAGGTAATCTGAAGAGATTTCACCCCATTCTTCCTGAAGCACCTCCCACAAGTTGGATTGGCTTGATGGGCACTTCTTACGTATCATATGGTCAAGCTTCTCCCACAACAGCTCAATAGGGTTGAGATCAGCTGACTGCTTCTTCCCTAAATAGTTCTTGCATAGTTTGGAGCTGTGCTTTGGGTCATTTTCCTGTTGTAGGAGGAAATTGGCTCCAATCAAGCACCGCCCACAGGGTATGGCATGGCGTTGCAAAATAGAGTGATAGCCTTCCTTCTTCAATATCCCTTTTACCCTGTACAAATCTCCCACTTTGCCACCACCAAAGCACCCCCAGACCATCACATTGCCTCCACCATGCTTGACAGATGGCATCAAGCACTCCTCCAGCATCTTTTCATTGCGTCTGCGTCTCACAAATGTTCTTCTTTGTGATCCGAACACCTCAAACTTCGATTTGTCTGTCCATAACACTTTTTTCCAATCTTCCTCTGTCCAGTGTCTGTGTTCTTTTGCCCATCTTAATCTTTTCTTTTTATTGGCCAGTCTGAGATATGGCTTTTTCTTTGGAACTCTGCCTAGAAGGTCAGCATCCCGGAGTCGCCTCTTCACTGTTGACGTTGAGACTGGTGTTTTGCGGGTACTATTTAATGAAGATGACAGTTGAGGACCTGTGAGGCATCTGTTTCTCAAACTAGACATTCTAATGTATTTGTCCTCTTGCTCAGTTGTGCACCGGGGCCTCCCACTCCTCTTTCTATTCTGGTTAGAGACAGTTTGCAACATTAACAATGTCTACACTGTACTACTGATCAATTTGATGATATTTTAATGGACAAATCAATTGCTTTTCTTTCGAAGGACATTTCTAAGTGACCCCAAACTTTTGAACGGTAGTTTATATATGCACTTCCCTTTTGCCCTTAGAACAGCCTCAATTCGTCAGGGCATGGGGCTCTACAAGTTGTCGAAAACGTTCCACAGGGATGCTGGCCCCTGTTGACTACAATGCTTCCCACAGTTGTGTCAAGTTGGCTGGATGTCCTTTGGGTGGTGGACCATTCTTGATACACATGGGAAACTGTTGAGCGTGAAGAACCCAGCAGCGTTACAGTTTTTGACACACTCAAACCGGTGCGCCTGGCACCTACTACCATACCCTGTTCAAAGACACTACACCCTCTGAATGGCACACTTACACAATCCATGTCTCAATTGTCTCAAGGCTTTCAAATCCTTCTTAAACCTGTCTCCTCCCCTTCATCTACACTCATTGAAGTGGATTTAATAGGTGACATCAATAAGGGATCATAGCTTTCACCTACATTCACCTGGTCAGTCTATGTCATGGAAAGAGCAGGTGTTCATAATGTTCTGTCCACTCAGTGTATATCCTCAGGGTTGGACGGATTAATTGAAAAATGCAATTACAGATTACATGACAATAAAAGTAATTAGTAAAATAATCCATTGTATTAGTCAAAATGAGTAATGTAATCTGATTACTTTTGGATTAACGCCTTGGTAAACCAGCATCTGCCTCGTCAGTTTGTTGCAGAACGATCAGTTCCCTCTCTAAAGCTTATCAAATCAAATTGTATTTGTCACATACACGTGTTTAGCAGATGTTATAGCGGGTGTAGCGAAATGCTTCTAGCTCCGACAGTGCAGAAATATCTAACAATTACACAACATATACCCAATACACACAAAAAAGTAAGGAATGGGATTTAAGAAAATATACATATATGGACAAGCAATGACAGAGCGGCATGGACTAAGATACAGAATAATATTATAGAATAGAATGCAGTATATACATATGAGATGAGTAGTGCAAGATATGTAAACATTATTAAAGTGACTAGTGTTCCATTTCTTAAAGTGGCCAGTGATTTCAATAGGCAGCAGCAGCCTCTAATGTGCTAGTGATGGCTATTTAACAGTCTGATGGCCTTGAGATAGAAGCTGTTTTTCATTCTCTCGGTCCCAGCTTTGATGCACCTGTACTGACCTCGCCTTCTGGATGATAGCGGGGTGAACAGGCAGTGGCTCGGGGGGTTGATGTCCTTGATTATATTTTTGGCCTTCCTGTGACATCGAGTGCTGTATGTGTCTTGGAGGGCGGGTAGTTTGCCCCCGGTAATGCGTTCGGCAGACCGCACCACCCTCTGGAGAGCCCTGCGGTTGTGGGCGGTGCAGTTGCCGTACCAGGCGGTGATACACCCCGACAGGATGCTCTCAATTGTGCATCTGTAAAAGTTTGTGAGGGTTTTAGGTGATAAGCCAAATTTCTTCAGCCTCCTGAGGTTGAAGAGGCTCTGTTGCGCCTTCTTCACCACACTGTCTGCGTGGGTGGACCATTTCAGTTTGTCGGTGATGTGTACGCCAAGGAACTTGAAGCTTTCCACCTTCTCCACTGTAGGTCCCGTCGATGTGGATAGGGGGGTGCACCCTCTGCTGTTTCCTGAAGTCCACGATCATCTCCTTTGTTTTGTTGATGTTGAGTGAGAGGTTATTTCCTGGGACCACACTCCCAGAGCCCTCACCTCCTCCCTGTAGGCAGTCTCGTCATTGTTGGTAATCAAGCCTACTACTGTTGTGTCATCTGCAAACTTGATGATTGAGTTGGAGGCGTGCTTGGCCACGCAGTCATGGGTGAACAGGGAGTACAGGAGGGGGCTGAGCACGCACCCTTGTGGGGCCCCAGTGTTGAGGATCAGCGAAGCAGAGATGTTGTTTCCTACCTTCACCACCTGGGGGCGGCCCGTCAGGAAGTCCAGGACCCAGTTGCACAGGGCGGGGTTCAGACCCAGGGCCTCAAGCTTAATGATGAGCTTGGAGGGTACTATGGTGTTGAATGCTGAGCTATAGTCAATGAACAGCATTCTTATAGGTATTCCTCTTGTCCAGATGGGATAGGGCAGTGTGCAGTGTGATGGCAATTGCATCATCTGTGGATCTATTGGGGCGGTAAGCAAATTGAAGTGGGTCTAGGGTGACAGGTAAGGTAGAGGTGAGTGCTACAGGGCGATAGTCATTTAGTTCAGTTACCTTTGCTTTCTTGGGTGCAGGAACAATGGTGGCCATCTTGAAGCTTGTGGGAACAGCAGACTGGGAAAAGGAGAGTTTGAATATGTCCATAAACACACCAGCCAGGACGTGGCTAGGGATGCCGTCTGGACAGGCAGCCTTGCGGGGGTTAACATGCTTAAATGTCTTAATCACGTCGGTCATGGAGAAGGAGAGGCCACAGTCCTTGGTAGTGGGCCTCGTCAGTGGCACTGTGTTATCCTCAAAGCGGGTGAAGAAGGTGTTTAGCTTGTCTGGAAGCGAGACGTCTGTGTCGGCGACGTGGCTGGTTTTCTTTTTGTAGTCCGTGATTGTCTGTAGACCCTGCCACATACGTCTCGTGTCTGAGCCGTTGAATTGCAACTCCACTTTGTCTCTATACTGATATTTTGCCAGTTTAATTGCCTTGCGGAGTGAGTAGCTACACTGTTTGTATTCTGCCATATTCCCAGTCACCTTGCCATGGTTGAATGCGGTGGTTCGCGCTTTCAGATTTGCGCGAATGCTGCCGTCTATCCACAGTTTCTGGTTAGGGTAGGTTTTAATAGTCACAGTGGGCACAACATCACCTATACACTTCCTGATAAACTCCGTCACCGCTTCCCAGTCGAAACAGTTTGTGCATATATTATGACAACATTTTGGGACGTTTTGGTTTGTTTTGGTGTTCGGCAGGAGGTTTTTGGGCTGCTTGAGCACACAAAATGTTTTCTTGAAGCTTGTCGAAGTTCGGTAGCCGAAGTCTAACGATTCTTCAATGAAGTGTTGTCATTCATCGACAGACGACCCGTTTTCATGCAAATCTTTTCACCTGAGAAATACTGCACCAAACATCTTAGCTAAATGTACAATTGCGTGACTAAGAACTCCAAGGCAAAAACATCCAAATTAATTACAGATTTATTGAGTTATCTTAGATTAATTTGAGACTATTTTGAGGAAGTGTCCTGGCTATGTTATTGATACGGCGTCTCAAGAGGGACAAAACAGTAATATTGGCAGGTTTGTTTCTTGTTTTTCAAGCAAAAGGTCAGCTTTACTGTCAAGTTCAAGGAATAGCTTTCCAACCCTCATTCTTTGATTGTGAAATTATATGTCTACACCCAGCCACCAAACAGATTGTGGCTAGCAAAATAGGAAATGGTCATTTGTATATCTGGCCCTCCCTTCATTTAACAGTCTGGTATGACTTCAAAGACAGATTTCAGTGTACTCATTTCCACTGAAACTTTAGATTTAGCAGATTAAGTAGCTGATTGTCATGTCTGTCATGCCAGTGCTTGGGGAGTGAACAGGGTGGAACTGTATTGACTAATCAATGACAACCTTTCTACACAACGATCCTGATTAAATGTGGCAGGATTCAGTTCTCTGACTTTTTTTGGTTGAAAAAAGTTTCTGAGGAACGCAACCAAGCAGATTTCAAAATAGATTAGAACAGAAAGGTGAAAGGTGACTTCCAAGCAGTGTGGCTCAAAACAGCTTTCAAATACCTGCCATTTCTGTGTGTTTGAGGCAAACACTTGCAGCCCACATCTTGATATTAGAAGAAGTAATGCAATATGTAATCAGCTGATTTTAAGAATGTAACTGTAATCCAATCTGGGCTGATTACAGTTACTTCATTCTTGTAATGTGATTACCTAATGAGCTTCCGTTACTTCCCAACCCTGATTCTATTATTGAGACACCATTTATTGTATTGTTCTACAGAAGGAGGAGTTCATTTGACTTACTTGTTTTTCTTATCCGAGGAAGGCTTTCCCTCAGTATCTCCGTCCATGTCTTCTGTAGGGCTCTGTAGCTCTGAGCGAGGAAACGCCGTCTTCAAGGTATCCACAATCTACAGAGCCATTTGTTCACACAGTTACACTCCCCTACGTATTTACTGAATTTGGACAGTGAAACAAAAATGTTTCATTTGGCTCTATATTCCAGCATTTTGGATTTGAGATCCAATGTTTTATATGAAGCGACAGTACATAATGTCACCTTTTATTTGAGAGTATTTTCATACATATCTGTTTTACCGTTTAGAAATGAACGCACTTTATGTATCTAGTCCCCCCATTATAGTGTATTAAATTGAGTAAAAAGTATAGTATTTAGTCCCATATTCCTAGCTCTCAATGACTACATTAAGCTTGTGAATCCACAAACTTGTTGGATGCATTTGCAGTTTGTTTTGGTTGTATTTCAGATAATTTTGTGCCTAATAGAAATGAATGGTAAATCATGTATTGTGTCATTTTGGAGTCACTTTTACTGTAAATAAGAATAGAATATGTTTCTGAACACTTCTACATTAATGTGGACGCTACCATGATTACGGATAATCAGGAATGAATCGTGAATAATGATAAGTGAGAAAGTTACAGATGCACGAAGATCATGCCCCCAAAACATTCTAACCTCTCACCATTACCAATTACAGGGCAGGTAAAAATGTTTTGGAGGGTATGATTTATGCCTCTGTAAGTTTCTCACTCTCCATGTTTTGAGGTTTTCTGTAATGCATCTCCTTGTTTCTAATGCTACAGGCCTAGTTAGTTAAAGTGATTATCAATACTATCACATACCTTGTCTATGTGTGCTACGATGAACGGCTTCTTGACAAAGGCAATTCTTGCATCTGTATTAAGAGCAAGAAACTCCTGCATTTCTTCACTGTTGGCAGTTTCGGGTATAGCACAAAGTTGCTGACAAATAGGGGACATGAGTGTTAGTTTTCATGTAACAATCAAATCACATTTTATTTTGTCACATGTAACAACAGGTGTGGACTAACAGCGAAATGCTTAGTTTCTGTTAGTCTACACCTGTTGTTTACGAAGCACGTGATGAATAAGATTGTATTTGATTGTGTAATGTCATGAACGCTGATATGTTAATTCATCCAAATAAAGTCCACTCATGCCTATATGACAATGTGCAATATTACATTAAAGTGTATAATACATGCAGTTTACAGAGCACAAAACTAATAGAACATTTTTTTTTTAATTCCCAAGGCTTGAGTTAAGATGTTATTCCTCCACCAACCTTGAGAAAAGTCTCGAGCAGCCCTTTCCTGGCCTCAACTTTGTCACTGTCCATGTTACCAAACGGCAAGTCTGGAAATATTTTCTTTGGTCCTTTCACATCTAAACCATGTTAATAAGATCAGTTAGAAGCTGTAAGAAAGACACCCAGTCTAGTTCCACATGACACACGGAACTAAAACGCCTGTCATTGTTCAGATAACAATACTTACTTTTGATGAGTTTTCGCAAGTCTGATTTCTCCTCCAAGCGGGTCTGTAGGTTGAGGAAACTCACTATATCGGCGGTTGACTGTGTGATAGGCAACTGGCTGGATAGACCCTGGGTTATCAGAGTCCATTGCTGTTTCATACTAAAAGACATATGTTTTAACATAAAACAAACTAGATTAATATAGACTAAAATAATCTCTAAACTTCCATTTCCACTACTTACCTTTTCTTTCCTCTACTCAGTGTTCTGGCCTTAAGACCAACACACCTCATCAATGATCAGAACAAGTTGTGTTTCAGTAGCCTATAGCTATGAATAGACACATATGTAACCTAGCCTATTCAAACCACCAACATGGAATGTTCTCCATACTGTTCTCCATACATTAAACAACAAACAGATTCACCTTGCAATAATAACTCACCTTGACCGTGTAGAGAGTGTACGGGTGCGAGCCGGTGCCACGGTGCTCCTTGGCCGTGATGGTCCCGGGGATGCGAAGGTTCTGGATGATGATCGGGCCTTCGGGGCTGCTGAGGGGCTCGAAGCTGAAGGAGGGCAGGGGCACCATGGGGGAGGAGGTCTGCAGAGGGCCGCTCACCGACGCCATCAGCCCGTTGGAGTGGCAGCCAACCGCCAGGTCCACGCTCAGCAGCTCTCTCTCTGGACTGGTGCCGCTGTCCCTCGTCTCCAGGTCCTGGAGGCTGCGGACACTCGAGGGAACGTCCTCCGTCATGGTGCACAACGCATTAGCGAAGGCGTCGGGGTGATCCTGTTGTTCAGAGACCACAACTTTGGGGGAGGAAGTGACCTCGGCTAGGCCAGGGTAAACCCGGAGGTCATCCTCCAGATCCATGACGCTGCTGATGTCAGTGGGCTTGGCACACTCTCGGAAACGGTCCGACAGCGCTTCCTCCGCACCAATCAGAACCAGGGACTCCATGGAGCTCCTCTTGAAATCTGTCAGTGGCGAATCCAGATCTGAGTCGGTCTCTTGGTAGAACGGGTTGGATTTGACTGGTCTCAGGTAGTCCATTGGGCAGATACCAATGTACTGTCTAGCCTGTCTAGGCTCTTCTTCCTCTATATTATTCTGAGGGCAGTACAACTCTGCCGAGTCGATGATATCGTAAGCAGCCAACTCAGGTGTGGCAACCTCTGTGTCGTTAGGTGTTTCTGATAGGATCCTTAAGGGTAAAGAGCAAGGGACCTGAATGTCTTGCTGGGGCTGATCCTGCTCTAAGACAGTGAGCTGTGGCAGTGATGGTGGTTTTGGTGGTTCTGAGGCTTTGGGGGCTTGCATACTTGACTTGGTGAAAACGGAAATGATTAACAGGTTCAGCCAGTCTGGATCCGATAGTTTCGTAATGAAGGGGAGAAGGACATTGCATGTGATGAGCTCTCCGACCACAAACCTTCCCGTTCGGGTTTCCAGGTGAGGCGGAGGGACAAGGACATGCAGCAGCAGGTCAACAATAGCCCTGGCGTAGTTCACCTCCATGGCTGAGCTCTTCACAGCAGGGTGAGGTGTGCAGACCTGGGAGTATGCTTTCCAGAGGCTGTTCTCTCCATCCGGTTGCTTCTCCAGCTCGGCCATGACTTCTTTGGCTCTCAGGTAGCTCTGAAGGTGGCCGCCACACAGGTCCAAAACCCTCTGGGTCAGGACCTTCCTATCCACTCTTCTTGACCGATTCTTCAGCTCCATCGCCATGGAGTACATGGCACTTTGCACCTCGACCTCAAAGTCCCGCTCCGAGGACACTATGCAGTACCAGGAGGACACAAAGTCTCGGATTATCTTGCGCACGGTGGTCTGTATCTCGTGGTCTAGCTGCCGTTCACTCTCAGGCGAAGGAGGGACCCTTTCCAATGTGATGAACCTCTCTAGGTGAACAACGCTGTTGGAGTCCAGGACAGCCTGAGATCCCAGCCAGCCCCCCATGACCACCAGGAGACTGGTGAAGACACACAGCAGCCATACGTTCACCAGTAAATGGAAGAGAATCAGCCATGTCAGAAGAGCTCCAAAGCCCAGTAGGCTCCTCTGACCCAGTAGCTCCGCCATGGTCCACTGAATTGGGCCAACCGTCTCGGACTGAGTGTGAGACATGGCTCTTCATATGACTTTTATATTCAGTGTCTACAAAAAGAAATACAAAATAAGTAACGTTAGATTCATTTCACTTCACATTATTTACCTGGCAACACAGGCATAGCTAGTTCATTTATTATCTGTGATAAACTAATTTCTTCTCTGCAACCTGCAGGAATAATTTGTATTATTGCCTGGCTAGCTAGCTAGCTACCGGTGCTAGGTTAGATGAGTAGCTCTGGCTATTAACAGTGGAGCGGACCTAGCTAGCTAGTTACCGTTATACTAGCTAGCTACTGTACTAAGCTAGCTTGTTGCCATGTAAAAGTGAAAATCCACTTAGCTAGTTCATCTAACGATTTTGTAATGACACATTGACTTTACAATTAACTGATGACATGTTCTATTATATTATTGATATGATGGGATGTCTGGTTATGGTGGGGAGCTACTGTTAGTTTGCTAGCCGGGTCGCCTTTCCTTTCGTTAGCTTGCTACAGTAGCTAGCCAAGCGTTCCTATACTTTTTAAGCTAAATTACCCTTGCTAAATTTACCTTAGTCAATGTAGCTAGCTGGATGTTTCGGAAAGTACAACAAGTAAAATGATACAACCGGTCATGGCAACTGTATCACTTGCACGAAGCTAGCAACGTCTTGTTTTCTTTTTTTGAGAGCTCCATCAGTTTGTTTACTTCCTGTATCTCTTCACCAGGGTTGCCACATCTATTCAATGATGTCTCAAAACCCACCCTATTTTTTGGGGGTCGCAGCAAGAGACGAGTTGAAACATTTATCCATTAAACCCTTTTTCAATAACGTTATGGAGCGAATTAAGGAATGTCGACGTAATTTGTAACTACGTAGGCTAAAATACAAAGTTCGGTTTTCCGCAAGAGAAAAGATCATTTGATTTTATTAAACTCGCCAGAACTTTTTCCATCAATGGATGTCGATGTAAGTTGTTTTGACTGCTATGATTAAGCAAAAAGGCCAGATGAGGTGTGATATATTGGCCAAATACCACAAACGCCTGAGGTGCCTTATTGCTACTATAAACTGGTTACCAACTTAATTAGAACAGTAAAAAGTAATTGTCATACCCGTGGTACAGAGTCAATGGTTAGAGTTACAGTACCAGTCAAACGTTTGGACACACCTACTCATTCAAGGGTTTTTCTTTATTTTTACAATTTTCTACATTGTAGAATAATAGTGAAGACATCAAAACTATGAAATAACACATATGGAATCATGCAGTAACCAAAAAAGTGCTAAACTAAATATATTTTATATTTGAGATTCTTCAAATAGCCAACCTTTGCCTTGATGACAGATTTGCACACGCTTGGCATTCTCTCAACCAGCTTCACCTGGAATGCTTTTCCAACAGTCCTTCACTCTGCGGTCCGACTCATCCCAAACCATCTCAATTTGGTTGCGGTTGGGTGATTGTGGAGGCCAGGTCATCTGAGGCACCACTGCATCACTCTCCTTCTTGGTAAAATAGCCCTTACACAGCTTGGAGGTGTGTTGGGTCATTGTCCTGTTGAAAAACAAATGATAGTCCCACTAAGCCCAAACCAGAAGGGATGGCGTATCGCTGCAGAATGCTGTGGTAGCCATGCTGGTTAAGTGAGCCTTGAATTCTAAATAAAGCACAGACAATGTCACCAGCAAAGCACCCCCACACCATAACACCTCATCCTCCATGCTTTACGGTGGGAACTACACATACGGAAATCATCCGTTTACCCATACCGCGTCTCACAAAAACCTCAAATTTGGACTCCAGACCAAAGGACACATTTCCACCGGTCTAATGTCCATTGCTCGTGTTTCTTGGCCCAAGCAGGTCTCTTCTTATTATTGGTGTCCTTTAGTAGTGGTTTCTTTGCAGCAATTTGACCATGAAGGCCTGATTTACACAGTCCCCTCTGAACAGTTGATGTTGAGATGTATCTGTGACTTGAACTCTGTGAAGCATTAAATTGGGCTGCAATTTCTGAGGCTGGTAACTCTAATGAACTTATCCTCTGAAGCAAAGGTACCTCTGGGTCTTCCATTCCTGTGGCAGTCCTCATGAGAGCCAGTTTCATCATAGCGCTTGATGGTTTTTGCGACTGCACTTGAAGAAACTTTCAAAGTTCTTGACATTTTCCATATTGACTGATCTTCATGTCTTAAGGTAATGATGGACTGTCGTTTCTCTTTGATTATTTGAGCTGTTCTTGCCATAATATGAACTTGGTCTTTTACCAAATAGGGCTATCTTCTGTATACCCCCCTACCTTGTCACAACACAACTGATTGGCTCAAACGCATTAAGAAGGAAATAAATTCCACAAATGTACTTTTAAGAAGGTCACCTGTTAATTGAAATGCATTCCAGGTGACTACCTCATGAAGCTGGTTGAGAGAATGCCAAGAGTGTGCAAAGCTGTCATCAAGGCAAAGGGTGGCTATTTGAAGAATCTCAAATATAAAATATATTTTGATTTGTTTAACACTTTTTTGGTTACTACATGATTCCATATGTGTTATTTCATAGTTTTGATGTCTTCGCTATTATTCTACAATGTAAAAAATAATACAAAGAAAGAAAAACCCTTGAATGAGTAGATGTGTCCAAACTTTTGACTGGTAGTGTAGCTACAATCCTCTCATAACCTGTTATGAAAAGTTACTTCCGGTCGTAGTTGTACTCCATGTAGGCACAACCTTTCTAAATGGACACACTAGAAGGACCGGAAGTGATCTAAGAACAAGTGAAAAGCAAACTGCTCAAAAATTTTTTGCCTCAGGGATTTTGCTTTACTTACAGAGTAGGGTTAAAGGTAAAAACAAATGATTGATGTTAAGGTTATCCAATAAATTCTCATTTCATTCAAGATAAAAACAATGGTGACATATTGTAGTCTAGGTTGTAGAGGGCAATTATTAATTTATTGCTGGTATGGGACCTATCTGTGCATGGGCTTGTGCATCCACAAAACATTTTTATAGGCCTAATTAGTAAAGATATGTCTTTTCACTTTTAAAATACATTACCTTTTAATATGTGGCATACCGGTAAGCAGAACGTTTCCGTCTTGTTGTAAAACAAATCATTTGTAAAGCTCCATAACTGCACAAGTTCATCCACTCTAAAATAATTATAGAATCCAAAAGCACACCAGCTATTTGATGAACAGAAAAACACATCTGCTAGAAAAACACTAGAAAGTGTAATGACACTTGTAACCTGGACAGGGTTGTTTTGTTGTTATTAAGCTTCATTTAGATATTTTCTGCTTATAATTTCCGACATTTGGTAGGCTATTTGTTAGTCAACTTGTCTATAACTAGATATTCTACAGTACATGCAGCTTCTCTTCTGTCATTACTTGATGCTCTAGAATACTAAATAAAGCCTTGCTCACCAGAATAATGTCATAAATCAATAGAATGAATGCGTCATCACCAATCTATACTGAACAAAAATATAATCGCAACATGCAACAATTTCAAAGATTTTACTGAGTTACAGTTCATATAAGGAAATCAGTCAATTGAAATTAATTAATTAGGACCTAATCTATGGATTTCACATGACTGGGCAGGGGTGCAGCCATTGGTGGGTTTTGGAGGGCATAGGCCCACCCACTTGGCAGCCAGGCCCACCCACTGGGGAGCCAGGCCCAGCCAATCAGAATGAGTTTTTCCCCACTAAAGGGCTTTATTACAGACAGAAATACTCCTCAGCACCCCCACCCCCCTCTGCAGTTGTGAGGCCGGTTGGACGTACTGCCAAATTCTATAAAACGAAGTTGGGAGGCAGCTTATGGTAGAGAAATTAACATTAAATATCTGGCAACAACTCTGGTGGACATTCCTTCAGTCAGCATGCCAATTGCACGCTCCCTCAAAACTTGAGACATCTGTGGCATTGTGTTGTGTGACAAAACTGCACATTTTAAAGTGGGCTTTTATTGTCCCCAGCAAGATGCACCTGTGTGATGTTCATGCTGTTTAATCAGCTTCTTGATATGCCACACCTTTAAGGTGGATGGATTGTCTTGGCAAAGGAGAAATGCTCACTAACAGGGATGTAAACAAATTTGTGCACAAAATTTGAGATAAATAAACTTTTTGTGCATATGGAAAATGTATGGGATTTTTTTTTTTAGCTCATGAAAGATGGGACCAACACCACATGTTGAGTTTATATTTTTATTCAGTGTAGTTTACATCAGTAAGGTTTTCTATTTCATTTCTGCTTCTCTCCCAGAGTGAGGACGTTTAGGGACTGGGGAGATTTTCTGTGCAAAATTTCCCAAATTTGAAAATGAAAATCTGTGAATCATTGTACCATCTAAACCGCTGTGAAATATATTTTCCATAACCAAAAATATTGTTGTTTCAGCTGTTTGAAGCTGGTGTACAAAAACTAAAAGTAAAAGACACAAAAACAAAACTTAAGAACAGGAAGTATAGAAGTGTACAAAAGTGAAAAGTAAAAGATGCAAAAGCAAAACTTAAGAACAGGAAGCATAGAAACAGTGTGGTCCTCTGTAGCTCAGCTGGTAGAGCACGGCGCTTGTAACGCCAAGGTAGTGGGTTCGATCCCCGGGACCACCCATACACAAAAATGTATGCACGCATGACTGTAAGTCGCTTTGGATAAAAGCGTCTGCTAAATGGCATATTATTATTATTATTATTATAAACAGCGCACACAGAACAGATATACCGCTTCTTAGACTTGCTTGACAAAAGTCAAGATCGGGATGGAAACATGAAATGCCAGTACAATTTTATAAATGCTGACAGATAATTTGTTCGTTCGACATGGTGGGATGTTTTTGTGTCGGTAAAATTAATTATGCAAGAAATGGTGGTGGGAACACCGTTATACGCAAATATTGATCTAATAACCATCATATCGAAGTAAACTTGGAGTCACACGATGATATGTTTTGTGGTCCTCCCACTACGACTCGGGAAAGTATGCAGTTTATTGGGCTAGAGATTAAATAAATTATGATGAACTTCACAGGGTGGTGAATGTGCAAGTAATGTGCAAGGTGATGAGCTTGATGCTCCTTTCCAATAAATATCGAGGGTCTTATTCTGGTGACATGATGATCGATGATTGGCTGCCTTTTAATCTTATAATGTAGGTAGCCTACCCGCACTGTATCTGCGAGCTGTTGGCTGGAGCACATGCGCCAAGGCAACGCAACAGTTTTTGTGACAAAACCATCAGTAGAGTTGAAAATGAGATTGAAACCCATTTAACTTGTATTTTTCATTCGGTACATGACAATATAGGCATAAGTTATTTTGATGTGTACTACATCATCACGCACAGCCTTTTATCCGCAAAAGGTCAATTTGATGGAAACACATCTCTGGTGGGAAAATGCGCATATTATTTTATGCAGATTTTTTTATATTGACATTATAATCTGTCGCAAAATGGATGAAAACCTAGCTACTGTCAGCTTTTATGTCACTTTTTTTTTTCATGTTTACGCTACACAACATGGTCCCTGAGCGTGCATTCACATTCTCTCAATATGCTAAAATAAATAAATCATACTTCTCTACTCCTGTTCCCGTGACAAAATTAAGATTTGGTCTATAATTTTACTGCAAATAACACTTAATTCTGTAGGAGTTAATATTACAACAGGCTACATGTGAGGCCTACACTCAGTGTCCAGA